TCTATTGGTCTGTCCAATGTATGTGGCCGGGCATGATGCACAGGGGACTTCGTATATGCCTTGGTTTTCCAGGTCAATTTTATCTTTGGGGTTGCTAAGGATGGCTGCTATTTTTCTGTCTGTTTTGAAGGCAGTCCTGATGTGATGTCTGTGTAGTACCTTACTAATTTTGTCTGTAGTACCTCTTATGTAGGGCAGGACAGCTGTTCCATAGGTCTGTTCATCTTCTGGGTCTCTATTATGTTTCAGTGTGTTTTTGTGGATCAAGCTGGTGATTTTGCTTTTGTGGAAGCCGTTGGCTGTCAGTACTTTAGTCAGGGTGCATAGTTCAGTCTTAATGTGTGTCTTGTCTGCCAGGCGTTTGGTTCTAGTAATTAGTGTTTTAGCCACGGAGTTTATCTGTGCTGGGTGGTGGTGGGATTGGGCGTTGAGGTAGCGGTTGGTGTGTGTTTTCTTCTGGTATATGGTGTGTCCTAGTGTGCCATCTGTTTTTTTGTAGATTAGTACATCTAGGAATGGTAGTTGTTTGTTTGTTTCTGTTTCCATGGTGAACTTGATTTTGGGGTGTGCGCTGTTTAGGTGTGTTAGGAAATTGTTTAGGTTTTCTTGTCCATGGGGCCAAATCACGAATGTGTCATCGATGTATCTTAACCATAGTTTGGGTTTGAGGATGGCATTGGCCAGGGCTCTGGATTCGAATTCTTCCATGAACAGGTTTGCAATGACAGGTGACAGTGGTGATCCCATGGGAGCTCCTTCTATTTGTTTGTATCTTTGTCCTTTGTATATGAAATATGTGTTGGTTAAGCAGTGTTCTGTTAGTTCCATGAGGTGTTTAGCTGGTTGGTATTTATTTTTGATGATTTCAAGGGTCTCTTTTATCGGGACTTGAGTGAATAGTGAAACCACGTCAAAACTTACAAGCAGATCTTCTTGCTCCACGTGTAGATCTTTGATCATTTCCAAGAAGTGGTATGAGTTTTTTACATGAGAAGCTGCTGTTTCAGCATGGGGCTGTAGCTCTTTTGCTAGGTGTTTAGCTAGGTTTTGTAGTGGTGCTCCTCTGGAGCTGACTATGGGTCTGAGAGGTATGCCTTCTTTGTGTATTTTTGGGAGGCCGTATAGTTTGGGGCATCTGGAAGATTTCTCTCTGGGTATGATCGCGTGTTGGATCTCTTTGCTTATGTGGCTGGTTATAATTTTCTTCTTGGTTAATTTTTCCAGATATGTGGTTGGGTCTGTGTTTATGGGTTTGTATGTGGAGTCTTGGAGTAGGTCTGTCAATTTTGTTTCGTAGTCTTTTCTGTCCATTACTACAGTGGCATTCCCTTTGTCTGCTGGGAGGATGATTATGCTGCTATCTCTTTTCAGGGTTTGTAGTGCTTTGATTTCATTTTTCTGTAAGTTGCTTTTTGGTGGTTTGTTTGTGCATAAGATGTTGGTAACTTGGTGTCTTATTTTATCAGCTTCATCTGTATTTAATTTAGTTAGGCTGGATTCTACTGCACATATGATGGATTCTGTGGGGATTTTTTGGGGTGCTATAGCATAATTGAATCCTTTGGTTAGGACATCTGTTTCTGTTTTGGTGAGTTCTCTGTTGGAAACGTTGTGCACTAATTGTTTCAGGTGTTGTTGTGAGTTGTTGGGGGTTTTCTTGTCATGTTCTAATTTCTTTAGTTTTTTCAATAATTTTTCTTGTTTGTAAATGCCTTCAGAATCAGCTCTCCAAGTTGTAAGTTGTTTTATCTTGTCCCAAAGTAGAGGGTGGATTTTGCTGCTCAGTTCCAGGTGTAGTGCTAGCAAATCTTTGTTTAACTGATCTAATCGGAATCTCTTACTGTGGAGCTCGTTCCGTAGTAAAGCCATTTCAGTTCTTTTCAGGATACGTTTGGTGGCTGCTGTGCTTTGATGAAATGTTAATTTGAAGCAGGTTGGTGTAGTATTGTTGTCTCTGCAGCTGCGTAGGAATTGGAGGTCACATAGTATTCCTGCTCTTTTAATTTCCAGTTTCTCGTAGGTTTATATATATTATATATATATATATATATATATATATATACACATATACATACACACATAGTTATATAGTTTTATATATATAGTTATATATATATAGTTATATATAGTTATATATAGTTATATATAGTTTATATATATATATGTAGTTATATATAGTTATATATAGTTATATATATATTTGCCTTCAAAGTAAAAGCAATCCATACCAGTTGGATGTGGCTTGGGAGAGGGAGCGTAAAATGCAAAATAGAGGGTGCTTCATAGAGCCACTTTGTGATTGGCTAGGTTTTAGTTCTACGTTGTATGAATGCATCCTTCACCTGAAGAGATTTCGGTTGTAGGGAAATGTAAGCCCAGTCCAGATAACATGCAAACTCATTTGAAAGTACGAAATTCAAGCCTGTCCACTTTGCTAGATCATCATCTTTTAACCAATGGGCAACTGAATGGAGCTGAGTGTTTACTGGCCGGATGCCCTTCCTGTCGCTAAGGCAGAGTTTTGTTCAGCAGATCTATTCTCATTGGGCCCAAAGAGAGAAATATATGCCTCTACTTAGGATCGAACTTAAAGCCTCCTGATTGTGAGGCCACCACGCCACTTTGTCCACTTTGTTAGAATGCTTTGTTTAAAATGAGGCGTGCAGCCATCTTTTAATGACCTGTTAAACAGCAGAATCTGGTCTGAGTATTTGTCTAGCATAAAGCTGCCGTTTATTTCCCAAACTTGTTCTTCCTTTCCTTTCCTTTCCTTCAGAATTCTTAGAAAAACAAAACTTCCCTAACACACATCACAAATTAAATTCCTGTAGTTTTGCACTTGGGAGTTGTTACCTGTGCCTCTGCTGTCTTTCAAGCATCGGGTACCGATGTACTCTTCTCATGTTAAATAAATAGTGCACATTTTCTCCCCGCAGCAGTTAAAAGGATGATTCATGGACTAATAAGAAGTTGGCTTAAATCCTGTCCTTCTAAGTGATTTTTTTTTGCTACTCCCCAAAACAGCCAGCAAACAGAAGCCAAATCCAAGAAGCCATTTTATTGAACCGTCTCTGCTCGTAATAAATAGAGCTGTAGAACAGAAGTTACACAAGAAAGGCAGTGGAGTCATAGGAATCTTCCCTGTGTTCTAAACACGCAGAGACACACATACACACAACTTCACTCTCCTCCAAGCATTGCTTTCCACGTGGACTACAACAGAAATATTGGGAGTGTAGGCCTCGGCCAAGAGAAGCGTTGGCTAAGATGATTGATATCCCTGGGAGATGAGAGATGGACTCCCCGTTCCACTTCGATCACTCCTGGGTCAAGGAGTGGATGATGTCTTTCACCAGCATGGTACCAATCAACATCTTTTCACTGTTGATGGTCAGCTGGGCCGAGTTGTCCGACTTCTTCTCCAGGGTGATCAAGATGAGACACTCGCCGCTCACTGTTTTAGCAGCAAACCTGGCCGGGAGAAAACAACCAAGGAAACCAGCAACAAAAAAACATTTAAGAGTGGCTGCAAATATTAGAATAACGTTCCTAACCAATATCTTTCTGGACATGTACGGTCTGTAATCTCCAAGGTAGAAACCCAGCAAGATTAAAAAGGCAGAAGTTGGTTGGAGAAAGGAAATTGGAGTTTGCAAGAGTTTGCAAAATTCTAAGAGCTAGGAAGTACCTAGTGAAAGGCAGTTTTTATTTATGATTTTTTTTATTTGTTAGATTTTTATTATCCTGCCTTTATTTTTACAAATAATTCAAGGTGGCAAACACATTTAACCCTCCTTCCTTCTCCTATTTTTTCTCATTACAACAACCTGTAAGGTGACTTGGGCCGAGAGAGAGGGACTGGTGCAAAGTCACCCAGCCAGCTTTCATGCCTAAAATGGGACTAGAACTCACAGCCTCCTGGCGATTAGCCTAAAACCATCCAGCTGGTTTTCATGCCTAAAACGGGACTAGAACACAGTTTCCTAGGGATTGGCCCAGAGTCACCCAGCGGGCTTCTATCCCCTATAATACCACACTATAAAAAAGGTGTTGAAGCTCTAGAAAAAGTGCAGAGAAGAGCAACCAGGATGATGAGGGGATTGGAGACTAAAACATGAAGAACCGTTACAGGAGCTGGGCCTGGCTAGTCTAGGGAAGAGAAGGACCAGGGGAGACAGGATAGCAGTCTTCCAATATTTGAGGGGCTGCCCCAGAGAGGAGGAAGGGGTCAAGCTATTTTCCAAAGCACCAGAAGGCCAGACAAGGAATAATGGATGGAAACTGAACAAGGAGAGATTCAACCTGGAAATGAGAAACTTTCTGACAGAACAATCATTGGAACAGAAGTTGCCTTCAGAAGTTGTGGGAGCTTCATCACTGGAGACTTTCAAGAAGAGACTGGACTGCCATTTGTCAGAAATGGTGTAGGGTCTCCTGCTTGGGTGGTGGGTTGGGCTAGATGACCTACAAGGTCCCTTCCAACTCTGATTATCTGTATCCCCAAACTGGCACTAGAATTCACTATCTCCTGGTGATTGGCTAAAAGCCATCCATGTCTTTTCATGCCTAAGATGGGACTAGAACTCACTGTCCCTGGCTTTCTACCCTGACCAAACTGGCTCTGTTTGGCTGGAAATCTTTAGCAAAATAGCGTAGTGAGACGTCCAGATGTACTTCCAAAGAGAGGATCCGCAATGGATCCAAGGAATCTCTCCTTCCAAGGGAGGATCCAATAAAGGCAGCCAAGAGTAGGGGAAAAAACAGCAGCCATTTTCTTCACCTGTATTCTTTGTCCGAACCGCAGGGCACCCGGCTGACGTTGGCAGCCGCTGTCACCTTTTGCACAATCACGTGGTCACTCTGGTAGGTGTCCGGAAGACTCAGCTTCTCTGTGATTTCACTCATCCCTGTTAGCTTCCCTGGAGGTTAGGAAAGACAGAAACAATAACAATTCAGGCATTTTTTTTCAGTGCCGTTGTAACTTGAATGGCCACTAAGTGAAATGATTGTAAAATGAGGACTTACCTGTACTGGGCACTGTGAAATGATCCCCCTTCATGGGCTAATATGTTTCAAAATGGACGCCATCTTGTGCAGGGATGGGCAACGATGCCAATTTTACAATCCGTGGACTTCAATTCCCAGAATTCCTGATTCGGCATGGCTGGCTCAGGAATTCTGGGAGTTGAAGTCCATAGGTTATAAAGCTGGCATTGTTGCTTACCCCAGATTGTGTCTACGTCAAACTGGGACTGGGAGATCTACGTTGAAACCCACCCTCAGCTATAGAAAGGTCACTTTGAGTCAATCACTGTCCTTCAACCCAACTTTTCTCACAAGGGTGTCATGGTTGGAACAAGTCAACAACCTCTCTTAAGTTTCAGAAGAAACGACAGACATAAAAGTCAAGCAAGTGAACAATTCTAGCTTACTCCTTGCTACGTTATGTACAGAATCCAAAATGGCGCTTCCCTGCGGTTTAGCTAAATAAAAAGATACTGATTAAGGCCTTCCAAAGTGAGGTGGAACCAAGGCGAGTCAAAAATCACGTCCGAACATGCAAACTCTTGTGGAATGTATTGCACTCCCTAGAGAATTGTGCATTTTCAACGCTTCAGTGGAGACCCTCAAAAGTCAGGAACCTTTTTAATATCAAGCACCACTTCCAGAATTAGTATTTTCCATTAGTCACGGGAGCAGGCAAGTTAAGAAAGTGGGTTAATAGGTTAATTAATGGAGCCCGCTGTGCAGGAACTTGGGGGGGGGGGCTCCTCTCTGAATTGGGTTTGAAGAGTGAAGTTTTCATGCCAAGAGGTGGTTCGTGGGGGCATGCAGGAAGTGTGGTGTTCAACAGCAGCCCAGGAAATGCCAAATGGTCTGTCTAAGACACAGGAGGCAGGAAGAGTGACCAGGATGGAAGGAACAGCAAGGTGCTCAAAATCTAACCCCAACATCCCTCTCACCAGGAAATCTGCCTGACGTTGCTTGTGGTGAGAAGTAGGGTACAAAAGACATGCAGAGGGAAGCAGAGAAGAAGCTAAGGGACAACAATGCTGGAAAACCTTAAGACTGGATTCACACAGTCCACTAGGCCAGGTGTCCAACCCTTTAAGATGTGCGGACTTCAACTCCCAGCATGGGAAATTCTAAAAATTGAAGTCCACAGGCCTTAAAATTGCCAAGGTTGAATGCACCCCCCCCCCAGCATTAGGCCATGTTACCGTGATAAACCAGAATTGGCTGGATTCAGACGACACGTGAAATCTCAAAAAAAAAGCAAGCGTATTTTGGTATGGTGTCCTGGGCATGCGGTCACATGATCAAATTTTGGGCGCTTGGCAAAAGGACCACCCTGGTGGCTGCTTTCTGCATCTCACGGTCACGTGACGGGGTTTTACGAGAGTTTTTGCCAAACCCCAAAAGTGACTTCCAGTTTTTGGCAACACTGAACTTCTTCTGACTTGAGGAAGCTTCTTGGATGAGAAGCGAAACGTCTTCAAGGAAAAACGAACTCCGGTTGAAGCCTTTTGAAAAAAATCACCTTTGGGACTAAGGACTGCAGGGTTTGTTAAAGAACCCCACAGCGCCTTTACGACTGCTGCAAAAAAAAGGATGGTGAAATTGTAAAATGTGACCGTCACGACTTATGTCCGTGATGGGCAAGCTCCATTTCTGTGATAAGTCATATTGTGTATTGTGTATACATAAGTGTATTGATCTTTAATTAGGAGAGCAGGAGAAGCAGAGGGCAGATCTACAGGAAGAGGCAAGAAGGGGGTCCAAGACAGAAGCCATCCTAGCACCAGAAAGAGGGAAAGGGTGGGGGTCAGCCTGTTTGGACAGCAGCGCCTGGGCTTAGGGCCAGGCAGGAGGGGAAGCAGGAGAGGGGCAGGGCTGTTTGGACAGCAAGAAGAGAGAGAGAGAGAGACAGAGACAGAGACAGAGACAGAGACAGAGACAAGGAAAGGAAAGGAAAGGAAAGGAAGGAAGAGAAAAAGGGAGAGAGAAAGAAAAAGAAAGAGAAAAAATGAAGGAAGGAAGGAAGGAAGGAAAAAGAGGAAAAACAAAGAAAGAAAAAGAGAGAAAGGAAGGAAAGGAAGGAGGGGAGAGACAGAAAGGAAGGAAGGAAGGGAGAGAGAAAAGGAAAGAAAGAAAAAGAAAGGAAGAAAAAGAAAAAAGGAAAGGAGGAAAAGAGAGAAAGATGAAAGAAAGAAAAAGGAAAAGAGAGAGAGAAAGGAAAAGAAGGAAGGGAAAGAGAAAAGGAAAGAAAAAATATAGAAAAAGAAAGAAAAAGGAAGGAAGAAAAAGGAAAGAATGAAAAGAGAGA